AAAAAAAAAAAAAAAAAAGCACTTTAGTGGTTGAACTCTACAAATCAAGATAAAGTGGAAAAAGCTGCTCTTGCAATGGGGCCCATTATTTCAATGAAAAGTATGGGACCCAGAGTGGAAGGGGACAACAGAGTCACTTAAACACAAGAGATGGGATGGGTCTGCTTACCATAATAGGCAGTAAGGCTACAGTGGACAAGAATTTAATTTGCTTAATAAAGTTTACTCCAAAAACTATTTTACTAATAAGTTCATCAATGTCTGTATAAGACTGACTAAAACGTTGATAGTCAGGCATACAAGGTCAAAATATCGGCAGAGTAAAAACAGCTCTGGAGTTAAAACTCGGATCAGCGTGACAGGGACAACTGTCCTGAATAAGGAAGACAACACAAGAGATTATTTTAAACAAAGACGCTTTGCTCCAAGTTGACTTTCTGTGTCTATTCACACTGAAAACTGGGTTAAGGTTATTTCAAGTATTTATCTAAATTTATCATTACCATAAATTATCTTTAGAATGATTCCTAAGGAAAAGTTTGGATCGAGCCACAGAAAGACCTATAGATACACCCAAATCTTTCATGAAGAAGCTGCTTGATATCATATTTGAATTGGAAATTGTCACTCCAGAAGAACCCTGTTTCAAAATTATAATGGTATCTTGCACATTGTCTCAAAAGTAATAATGAGGATGGGCACAGTGGCTCAAGCCTGTAATCCCAGCACTTTGGGAGGCCAAGGCAGGAGGATCACTTGAAGTCCAGAGCTCAAGATCAGTCTGGCCAAGACAGTGAAACCCCATCTCTACTTAAAATACAAAAAAAAAAAATTAGCTGGGCATGGTGGTGCACAGCTGTAATCCTGGCTACTCAGGTGGCTGAGGCAGGAGAATCATTTGAACCTGGGAGGCGGAGGTTGCAGTAAGCTGAGATCGTGCCACTGCACTCCAGCCTGGGCAGCAGAGTTAGATTCTCAAAAAAAAAAAGGAGACTATTTCATGCCAAAAATCCATGGGCGACAAGTAAATCTATACTCAAAGCCAAAATTATACCATTAAATGCCTTAATACCCATCAATATTAAAAACAAAACAAGTAGTAAATGTAAGAAGTTTAAAATATAGCAACAAAAACAAAAAAATAAATTAAAATAAAGGAGGGAATTATCAGAGATAAAATATTAAATTTGTTCAGAAAGAAATTATAAAGAATATACAAAACACAGCCGGGTGCAGTGGCTCATTAATCCCAGCACTTTGGGAGGCCGAGGCGGGCAGATCACGAGGTCAAGAGATCGAGACCATCCTGGCCAACATGGTGAAACCCTGTCTTTACTAAAAAAAATTAGCTGAGCGTGGTGGCACAAGCCTGTAGTCCCAGCTACTGGGGAGGCTGAGGCAGGAGAATTGCTTGAGCCCTGGAGGCGGAGGTTGCAGTGGGCCGAGGTCACACCACTGCACTCCAGCCTGGCACCTCCAGGAGTGAGACTCTGTCTCGAAAAAAAAAAAAGAATATACAAAACAGAAAGCTATATCCCCAGAAATATTTTTTTAAATAAACTCTTGGCAAACCTGCTTAGTGGAAAAAGAGAAAAAGCAAAAACATGCAACCTTTGAGATAACAAGGTGATAAACACATGTTTTTAAAAGTTTAATCATGATAAAACACAGATTTTTAAGTGATTTAATAATAATAAAAGAATATACATACAAAAATATAGGTGCAAATCTCTGGAAATTATTGCAGAGACATGTTATGGTCACCTCAGATTCCCAAAGCTTCACCTGTCTCTAGGGGCCCTCAGCCACACAACTGCCCCTGCTGCCACCACCACTGCATCTACTGACATCTCTATCTCATTCTGTCCTAAGGTGAATGCCAGGCTCTGGAAACATGGCCTTCCTAACACCTTCCCATCATGCCAGAAGCTGCAGAAGCTCTGGCCCCTCTTGGCCCAATTCAATTGAACCCATGAAGGTTCTGATTTCTCCTGCCACTTCTAGACTCCAATGCAGACTCCAAGGAATTGGCAGTCCACAGGGTGGGACGTGGCCTCCGCAGCAGCTGCCCAAAGAGGCCAGGTGATACCACCTGGAAGTGCATAGACTGAACTCCCTGAGGCAAACACCAACCAACAGGAGAGAAATGAGATGGGAGAAAGGTTATGGTGCAATCCATTCCCTTCCACCCTCCAATGGACTATTCCAACATGTGTTTTCTGTATGTACAGCCTGTCTGGTGCTGTCCTGTCTGAGTGGGTATCATACTCTTCACAGTTCATGAAGTGGTGCTCAGCTTGGTAATATGCCAATTTCCATTTGTTTTCCAACCTTCTCTCTCTTGTTCCCTTTTCGCTCTTTCTCTATCCCAGGATATCACCTTTCAATAAAACCTTACCACTTGTCTTGCTTCAGCCTCTGTTTTCTAGGGACAGTAATAAATCTGAAAATTTAGAGGACATGGTTAGTTTTCTACCAAAATAAAAACTACTATATTTTGCCAAGTAAGAGATAGAAAATCTGAAGCAATCAATAATCACAGAAGACATTAGAAAGCTAAGTAAAGGTCTATCATTTGTAAAAAGATACCAGGCCCAGAAAATGTAACAGCTGAACTATATCTAAATTTTAAAGTACAAATAATTCCTAATTTATTTTCTCTATTCTCAACCAGATAATTCATTTTATGTTAGGTATTATCGTGTTCTTATTAACACAGCATAATAAAGATAATTCAAAAATAAGAAAACTATAAGCCAATTTCACTTATGAATAAAGATGCAAACATTTAAAAATGACAACAAACGAATTTTGACAATGCATTAAAAGAACCATTCACCTGTATGAATCCATTCTCACACTGCTATAGACATACCTGAGACTGGGTAATTTATTAAGAAAAGAGCTTTAATCTGCTCATGGTTCTATGGGCTGTACAGGCTTCTGCTTCTGGGGAAGTCTCAGGGAACTCACTGTCATGGCAGAAGGCGTAGGGGAAGTAGATATATCTTCACATGGTTGGCAGGAGAGAGACAGCAAAGGATGAGGATTACACACTTTCAAACAACCAGATCACCTCCACCAGGCCCCTCCTCCAACAATGGGGATTACAATTCCACATGAGATTTAAGTGGGTCCACAAATCCAAACCATATCATCGTAATAACTGAATTTTAAATCATGTTAGCAGATCACATAAATGTCAACATGTATGAGGGAATTTAATAATTTTCTCAATATAACACAAGAGACTCTTCAAAAAGATCTCTTAATACACACACACACACACACATACACACACACACACACACAGTAACCATATGAATAAAACATATTCAAGATACATCTGGTTTATTCCCAGAATCTTTTCAAACCTTCTTGCTTTTCCCTCATTCCTCAACTGTTGACACCAGAGTGTCTTTGAGGTTGGTCGGGCTAGCTCACAGTGAATTTTAACAGGGGTGGTACCAGCATTTGAGGAAAGATCATTCTACTTTATGTAAGCCTGACTTAGACATGGCAAGACGTGTACCATCTCTACCTGGACATTAAATTTCACAGCACACCCAAGTCATCAGCAACAAAAAAATCTTCCATTCATTTCCAAGTGCTTGATGAGGATGACCCAACAACTGAGGGGCTACCCCTTACCTGTTCTTAGTAGTTACTGGGATACAGAGAGCCACCCCTACACCTGTAGCCCAGTAACTACTGGGAACTCTCTCCACCTCCTCAGACAACCCATTCCCACTTCTTTCTGCCCCTCCCTTCTAATCTACCTTCTTCCAAAACTGGAGAGTACCCATCATTTTAGTTCTCTTGGCCTTTCCTATCTGAGTGTGCTAGAACATCAGGACCCAGAAAACACAAATCACCAGCAAACAAGATGATGTGCACTTCCATACACAGTACACAAGGAGGCAGAAATGTCCAGGAGGTACTTTTAGATAGCTAAGCCATCGATTTGATTGCCGTTTGTTGATTGCATAGGCATTGAAACAACAGAATTTCCACAGAGCCAAAAATGAAAATCCACCATGTCCTATCAGGTCAAAGGATTCACCACTGCCGAGACTCTGTTTCTCCTCTGAGTCTCAGTATAGCAAATGGTTAACATCACAGGCTCTAGGGAGAGATAGATATAAATCCAAATTCCACTCTGCCCTTTTTTCTATATTTGAAAAAAAAAATGTTGGTTTTGACAAAATATAATTTATATTTCTTATCTTCATGCAAGCTTTTTACTGAGTCCACCATACTTTTTTTCCTGCGTCTTCCACTAATTTGCTTTTCCTCTGTTGGTCCTTGCCACGTTTCCTATGGATTCTTAGCCACACTGCTAGGTTTAGTCAGTTGGGGGAAAAAATACCCAATTCCTCACTTCAAGGAGCATTTCTTCCCTTCGTTTTTCACTGCAGGAACGACAAGGAATGATGCATAATCAGGTGTTTGGCAGAGTGTCACAGAGGAGAGACCAGATTTACCATGAGCAGGGTTGAATCCACCCTTAGTGACTGGTGATCTTACACAGGTCACTTAATCTCTCTCAGCTTCATTTTTCTTACAAAATAAAAAAAAAAAAAATGGGAAAAAAATGAGCCAAAATCACAAAGCTGTGGCACAAAATAAAATAAAATGGTAAGGTGACAAATACCCTTTGCATAGGGTGAGAAATTATTCATGTGCTCACTTTCATTCTCCACAAAATTTTAATTTTCTCATGTTCTCTGGATACTTTCTTTGATGTTGAGTTATGGATCATTAAAACAGATCATGAGAGAAGGCTTTAGATCCTTGTCTTAGTCCACCTGGGCTACCATAATAAAGTACCCTAAATTAGGTGGCTTATTAACAACAGAGACCAGGTAGGGTGGCTCACACCTGTAATCCCAGCACTTTGAGAGGCCAAGGTGGGCAGATTGCTTGAGACCAGGAGTCTGAGATCAACCTGGCCAACAATGGTAAAACCCCATCTCTACTAAAAATACAAAAATCAGCCGGGCATGGTGGTGCATGCCTGTAATCCCAGCTTCTTGGGAAGCTGAGGCACAAGAATCACTTGAACCTGGGAGGCAGAGGTTTCAGTGAGCTGAGATTGTGCCACTGCATTCCAGTCTGGGAAACAGAGCCTGCATTAAAAAAAAAAAAAAAAAAAAAAAAAAAAAAAAAAAAACCACACCCACGCACACCCACACAGAGAGAGGTTTATTTCTCACAGTTCTGGAGATAAGAATGTCCAGGATCAAGTTGCCAGCAGATTCTGGTGAGGGCTCACTTCCTGTTGCATAGAACCATCTTTTCACAGTATCCTCATACGACAGAGGGGGCATGGGATCTCTTTAGAGCTTCTTTTATAAGGGTACAAATATAATTCATGAGGGTTCTGCCTTCAGGATCTGATAACCTCTCAAAGGCCTCCTCTCCTAATACCATCATATCGGGGGTTAGATTTTAACTCATGAACATTGGTGTCACCTAAATATGCAATTTGTAGCATTTCATGCTTAGCCCCCCACAAAATTTATGTTTTTCTCACATGTAACATATACTCACTGCATCCCAACAGCCCCAAAAGTGTTGACTCGTTCCATCCTTAATTCTAAAGTCTAAAATCCAAAGTCTCCTCTAAATAGCATCTAAATCAGATATGGGTGAGAGTCAAGGTACAATCCATCCTGAGGCAATTCATCTGCTCCACTGTGAACCTGTGAACCCAATCGAGTTAGTACTTTGAAAATACAGTGGTGGGATAGGCACAAGATAAACGTTCCTATTCCTAAAGGGAAAAATAAGCAAGAAGAAAGGAGTAACAGAGCTTGAGCAGAATCTTTGGCCTGATGCTCTGCCCTTCAGGCCCACTGGGGCATGGATCCCATCTTCTAGACCCATTGAGGCAGCAGTCTTGCCCGTGAAGACTTGTTGAGCAAAAGTTAGCCCAGCTTCAGGCAGCTCTGTACCCATAGCAGTTCTCTGCCTTGACCCTGCAGCTTTCCAGGGCTGGGGTCCCAACTCCATGACTCTACCAGGAGGCCTCATCCTTTGAAATCTAGGTGGGGACAACCATACCCAGACAGCTGTGCTGAACATAGCTCATGTTACACAGGGGTCCACCGGAACGTAAGTACCTGGGGTTGCTGAGGAGCACAGAGCTGGAGTGCAGGGAATGGAGCCCTCGACGTGAGGCAAGGCCTGTGTGCCAAACTCCTATGGGCACCAGGCATCAGCAGCCTCTTCTTTGAAACCATTCTGTCCCTCCCAGCCCCCGATGCTTATACTGTGGGCCTGTAATGGAAGGGACAACCCCGATGGTCTCTGAATAGCTTCAGGGGTTCTCCACTGCCTTGGAGAATAGCTGGTAGCTTCTGTTGAGATGGTTGACAAATCTCCTTATCAAACAGCCATTTGGCCACCCCCTTAGTTTTCTCTCTCAAACCGGGTTTCTCATTTCAATATGGATAGGCTGAGAATTTTCCAAATCTTTAAGTTCTGCCTCCCTTTTGATGAACCATCCCATCTTTAAATAATTTCTTTTTTCTCATTTTATTATAAGCAATCAAAAGAAATCAGTTCACTCCTTCAACACTCCACTTTGAAATGTCTGCAGCCAAATATAGTTTCATTTCTTGCAAGTTCTACTTTACACAAAACACTGGGACAGGAACACAATTCAGCCAAGTTCCTAAAGACTTTATAACAGAGACCACCTTCCTCCAGTTTTCAATAACATGTTCTTTTCTGTCTGAGACCTCGTCAGCACAGCTTTTACTATTCATATTTATACTAACGTTCTGTTCAAGATTATTTAGGTGTTCTCTAAGAAGACTGATGCTTTCTCTACAGTTCTCTTTTCTTTCTGAGTCCTCACCAGCATTGTTTTTAAAGGACTATTTACGGCAATGTAGGCTGCTTCTAGAATGCACCTCCAAAGTTTTCCAGCTTCTATCCGTTACCCAGTTTCAAAGACACTTCCACATTTACAGGTATTTGTTATAGCAACACCCCCACTTCTTGGTACCAATTTCTGTCTGTCTTGTCTTAATCCATTCAGACTACTATAACAAAATACCATAAACTTGATGGCTTATAAGCAACTGAAATTCATTCCTCACAGTTCAGGAGTCTAGAAAGTTCAAGCTCAAGATGTTGGCAGATTCATTGTCTTGTGAGAGTCCAATTCCTTGTTCATAGATGGCCATCTTCTTCTTCTTCTTCTTTTTGAGACAGAGTCTCACTGTTGCCCAGGTTGGTGCAATCTTGGCTCCCTGCAACCTCCACCTCCCAGGTTCAAGCAATTCCTCTGCCCCAGCCTCTTGAGTAGCTGGGATTATAGGCACACACCACCATGCCCAGCTAATTTTTGTATTTTTAGTAGAGACAGTTTTCACCATGTTGGCCAGGCTGGT